GAAATTGGCATATGATAAAACAACTGAAGTTCTACAAGACTACCAACTATGTGGTCGTAAAACTTTTTCATATCTGAACAGAGTTTTCTCCCAATCATCTTTAAATTTTCGATAAATCAGCATGTTTGCCTTTGCATCTTCCACCTAACATTAATCCTTGTATTCAGCCATACCGACGAATGCTCACCAGTTTGAATGGTTATATTTAGATGCTCTTTGGCCAAATTCTTTAAAGATTTTGGTCGTTTAGTATTTGGATTTTTTAATGGTTTGTATCGTGTGGTATCTCGAGTAAGCTTTCGAGGATGATCCAATAATAACGCATCAAAATCATTTTTTAAACCATGACCAATTATTATTTTGTCCTTTACCAAATCTGCTACTTGTTGTTGCACTTCTTTAAAAGGTTTTCCTGATTACAGTTTAGTGACCAAAATGAATCTTACCTGTACAATTTAGTATCTGTTACAAAGTTACCTTGCTCTTTCAATAACTGCGGGGTAATACCACTAACTTTAGTTCTAAAGTCTGTAATTCTTTCTTGAGGCAAAACAAATTCATCTAAAATTGTTTCCCCATGAAAGTTAACCAAAGATACTCTGGCCAATACAGAAGTACTACCTTTGTCTCCAACACCCACCATTTCACAATCCATAGCAATATATTTTCCAATTCTAATCAATTAGTCAAACCATTAATAGACTGTACTTTGGTTTTAAAAGTGAAGGTGTAGTATTATTCTGTATATTTTGATGATGTAGGGAATTATGGATCTCCTTCTTAGTCTTCTTGTTGGTTTTTTCATTATCTGTTTTGTAAACTGGCAATTCTGGTTGATCATCGTCGTCCAAATCTGAAAATGCATTGTTTTGGTTTGAGTTGTTCAGAATTGAATCCAATATTGATAAATCGCGTTCCGTGGTTTTTGATAGTGGATCCACCTCAATCTCTTTTTCGACAGCATTAGTATTTATGGTTGAAGCTTTTTGAGACACTTTTTTTGTTACTTTGGAAAGTTTCGGTTTTGTTAATGTCTAGAGTTAAGGTCCTACTCAAACTACCTTTGATAGTAATTTCCAATTCGACGAAACTTGATTCTTCCCTTGACTAACTTGATTCTTTCCTTGGCTGGTTCCCTTGGTTGAATGTACTATTTTCCCCATTAAATCTTATTTGAGAAAAAAAAAGAAATAAACGAAATTCAAATAAATCCATGGAACGCTAAATCCACTTTTTCATAATTTTGTTTAGAGAGGGATGATAAACCCAATCTTTCGACTTGAATTCTTGTACTGACCTACAAAGAAATCTCTTGCATCAAATACTTGGTAAATCAAAACTATTCAATTGAAAATTATTTGATTCCAGCACAATTTGTTAACTTGATGGTTACTGTAAAATGTGTATTTGTTCGTTTCTCTTCTTTCCCCTTTTCATATTTTTGTCAGGAATATGACAGTAATTAAAATATTTCTTTGTTAATCTTTAGATATACGGACTTTATATCTTTGATCGTCACTGCAACTGTATATTCTATCAGGTAAAATATTGGATTTTGCTGGAACCAACTATAGCCTTGGAATTTAACAACTTCTTTACAATCAGACCTGAATCAGAAACAATCTCAAGAAGATTCTAAGCTTGTATTTGGGTATTTGAATTATTAATTTCTAATATCATCTCAGTGTGATGTTTAATCTGTAATCTTTTATTGGATCATTGACTTTTTAGTGGCAAAATCATTGCCAAATTAAATCCAGTAAAAACACCGTAAACTATACATGAATTCATCATAGAGAATCATTTATAACTTATCGTACAGACTCTTATAAGCTGCATTATTACGAAATTCCTGCTTGTTTAAAATTTGTCTTACTGTCAGATATTGAAATGGCAAATACAAAAGGCGTCTTAAATACAAAAGGCGTCTTGCATAGTATCTTTAGTGATATATATGTACCCTACGTATCAAAAAACCCAATGATTCCATTTGATGCACCAATCAATAATGATTTGTTTCGATCACATTTAAACAAATTCATCAAATCTTTACCTAACTTTGAACCGAAGCAATAAACGTGATCTTTTCTAATTATCTAAGTATATGGCTTTTGAAGTAACCTGTTGTATATAATTAATTATGAGATCAATTAATGCGAGGCTAGATGAATTCATTTACCAGTATTATTTGCTTTCCTAGTAAATCGCAAACCACTGTTCCAAAAGAGATCAATCAATACATATGATTTGTATTGATTGATTTCACATAAGTTACCTATGTGAAATATTTCAACTTTTGATACTTATTGTTGATAATAAGAGCAAGAACTACTACGTATTACTTTCAAGTCTGCTATCACTAATTACTGCATGTGGTGGATAAGAAAGTCAGGACTCGTTGGTGTTTTGCAGTTTCAGAGACCTTCCTAATGGGGTTGGTGGATTTTCAATTCCAAAATCAAAGTAATTCTTAATCTCTTTGTTCTTTAGGATCCTAACTCTTCCCAGCTTTGTTGTATTTCGCCTTTTGTTTTTTGGAAACACTTCAACTCATTATAGAATGAAATTCAATCAAAACATTGGTTTCTGTCTCCTACCATATGTCATTTGTTTTCTGGTCTGCCAGGCTTCAGATTATATCACATACCCAAGTTTGGATACTATGCAGTCAACTATCTTCAATCAGTCCATCTTCACTGGTTTGTCGGGTGTCCTCTATTTAACTTTCTTGATCGTTATCATAGTGGATTGGATCACTGAGCATTCACCAACAGTATTTTTGTTCTCTCCACTACCACTACTGTTGATGATCATCAATGAATTTCTTGTAGATTCTGATGTGGTTTTTGAAACATTGTCTTATATGATTCATGTTATCATTTATACTGATCTGTTTATTCCAATTGCATTTGTTCTATTTTTTTTCAAAAGCCAGTCTGTAAAGCGCCTCAACGTCATCCAGTCGTTTGGTTGGTTATGTATTACATTATTCATCGTAAAGTTGACTTTCCACCAAGCTGCTCCTTACATTGTCACCAATTACAAAACAGTATTGTTAAACTTCTCGAGTTTTCATCCAAAGCTGTTCAATTTTATCCATTCAACTTCAATGCCATCCTGTTCCGCAGCTTCAATTACTCTAATGTATCTTCATTCCAATTCAAAAACTTTTAAATACTTTTTAGTTGCTTATTTTGTCATCGATTCTACGTGCTTGCTCCAATTCAGGCATTGTTTTATATTTGACTTATATTTTGGTGTTATCATAGGATTGTTGATGTACGGATGGCACATTGATGGGTATAGATCTTCAGAACCAAAGGTAGAGGAAGAATGTTTACCATTATATACGTTACACGATATATCCAAAATTAATTAGAGACTTCAATACAATAATTATAGAATAGAACTATTTCATAATTTGTCCTTTTCCTCTCAGAATAATTTCCATAAAAGGGTCCCAGTACCCTTTCTTGGACAACGTGGTTTAACCTACACCACGTGGCTAAAGGTATTTGTCTGCCTTGATTCACAAACAATTGTTTGAGGTACCGTTAAATCCTTGTAAGATTAGATTCGTACGGGACAAAGGATTTAGGCGTTTCTTTCAGTCCCTCGCTTTTATTTTTGGGCTTTTCCTTTTCTTTTGGTGTGTGACAAACTGAAAACGTGAACTCACTAGAAATACAAAACTGGATATAATTCATCAAAAAAAAGTATTCTTGTTTTATGCGTTTAATTTCAATTTTGACCCCTTTTATTCTATTGGTAGCTTTACTCGTATGGTTAGCTTTGGGACATATTCCAAGTTTAACCGTTGGTATCCATGCATCCTATGATTCTGATATTCTATCAAAACCAGATGGGTTGTTTTATTCTTCGGTGTTACTATTTGTGGTTTCTGATTGCATCACCCAAAGCATCCTAAAGTCTGTAATGATCTTTTCACTCCCTATTATATTGTACATAATCAGAACGTATGTGGTTGATGCTTCTTGGATTTTAATAACCAAGAATGCAGAAATGATGTTTTTAACTGGTCCATTCCTGATACCATTTACATTTCTTGTACAATATTATTACTCCAGAAATACCTGTCGATCAGCACTTTTTATACAATCAGTTGGTTGGATGATTTTCACCAGCATTCTTATCAGATATATTTTTCCATATGCATCCCCGTTTGTGATTGAAGAGAATGCCATTGTCCAACTCGAACTGATAGATCATTCTCCACTAGTAACCTTTTTACAGTCCACATCCTTCCCATCAATCACATCTGGTATGTTGATAATCATTTGGAACAAATCGTGGAATGTATCTATATACTGGACAGTTTTCATTAGCTTATACTTTGTTTTTGATACAGCAATGGCTTTACAAACTAGATCTGAATACATGGTTGATATATATTTTGGTGTGGTTATTGGATTTATTGCATTTTGGTTCAATGAAAGCGGAAATGCAACTGTTCAAAAAGTAGAGTACCTACCAATGTACACTAGAACAGAAAATATTCATTAAAATTTCCTGGATACGTTATGTCTCGTAATGGAACCATACTATTTGTTATTAATAATCAATATTCATATCTGCAATAAAGCATGTATAATTCGTAAGCCTTAGATTACATAGGTTGACCAGAAAACAAAATTTTAGTAAAACCAATTAACAAACTTCCTGCAATAAAATCATCTTAGCAAACTCAATGTGGAATGATCGGACTTCGTATAACCTTCTAGTTAGTACGTGGGAACAGTCTCCCACATTATCCACCCAAACACCATTTCACAGTATCAAGTCGCCTGATAAATATGGATGGATCACTGGGCATTCTTTAGACGGTTTTTTATGATGTAAAAAAATTTCCGAGTGAAACGAGTACGAACAGATTGGATAGCAAGTCGAGACTTATCGTTCACAGCCCGGCTAGCTCAATCGGTAGAGCGTGAGACTCTTAATCTCAAGGTTGTGGGTTCGACCCCCACGTCGGGCTAAACGGCCGCATGGCCCAATGGTCAAGGCGTCTGACTACGAATCAGGAGATTCCAGGTTCGATCCCTGGTGTGGTCGTTGCACTTTTGCCCCTTCTCATTCCTCTCTTTTTATACAAACCCTTTTTGTTGATTAACATTTTTACGGTTTTAAACTCCTACTTTTGGCTATTTTTGCTTGTAGTGTGTGTACAATTGTAATATATATAATCAATTGTTCAATTGGAACTTAGTCAATCAGAAATAGACTTTGAAGAAGCAAAGAAGTTTGAAAAATTTAAGATTCAATCAACCAATGAATTGAAGACACGTCACAATGAAGTGATTGTTCGTTGATTAAACAATATGAATTCATTGTTATGTTAACTTAAAAGATATTTGATTTTTGAATAAAGAATTTACTCAACTAAAAACCTATTTCTCAGTTAGTCAAATTACATTGATATTCTTTAACCAAAATGTAGTTTATAAAAACTATTAGTATCAAAAAAATGTAAGCCAACTATTAGAATCGATCATTCTGGTTAATTGAATTACACAACTTGAGTACTAAGATTGGGGCACCGAAGTCATTCCAATTCATTTACAAAAATTGTTTTCAAGCACCTATTTTTGAAAGTACTTTCTTGGGAGATTGAATTCTAAGTCTTTTACAATTTAATGTAGCGGTGATTGTCAAATATTAATTTCTATTTAATGATGATAATTGGCATTTTGTATCCATTCAAGTTAGTTCGTGATCAATGTTACACCATCTCTTATTCGTCATTATTCTATTCAATGAATCATACCAAATACATGTCAAGCATTCGATCCTTTTCGCTGAAGTATTAGGAGTTAATATCAGACATGCAACCCACTTGGTTGAATTTAATGGCAGTCTGTGCGTTTTGTGTTAGCTACTTTGCTATTTCGTACCACATTGAATTGTTGATAAACAAAAGGGGCTGAGAATGTCAATGAGTCAAAACTCAATCAAAAATATATAAACAACTTTACTAAACACAAGTGGGAAGTGATAGGAAAAAAATGACGATTGGATCTGCATTTTCGATATTTGGATCTACAGTTCCCATCAATAGATACCCACCACCTATACCTCAAATATGGCCATCATTGGATGAAAAGGTGATGATCAGTGGAAATCTGTTGCAAGATCCACTGGTTCAAGAAGCTTGGGAGTATGTACGATCTGTTGTAGATCCTGCATTATTAGCTATCCCTCCTTCGTCATACATTCAACTAGCAAGTGTCAGCTATCATAGTGATCCTGCCAAAACTTGCTATTGGTCCTTTAATCATTGTGTCAGATACACTGATACAAAAGATTTTAAGGTAAAGGGTTAAACTATTCATTGGTAGGCTGATATTGTTAATTGTCCAAACAGAAATGATTGGGGATTGACTTATGATGATGGACCCTCACAAAATGCTGGCGGTAGTGACACTGCTGGAATTCAGAGTGCATTAAAGGCATTGAACTGGAAAGCAACATTTTTTATTATTGGATCTAATTTAATGTTGAACAAGAATGATATGCTGATACGAGCTCACCAAGAAGGTCATCAAATAGGATTACACACGTGGTCCCATCATCCAATGACTTCGTTAACGAATGAACAAATCGTGGCCGAAATGAAGTATACGGAGGCATTAATTTATCGAACAATAGGAGTTGTTCCAAAATATTTCAGACCGCCTTAGTAACTAGCCTGACGATTAACTCTAGTGGCGACATCGATGATCGAGTTCGTGCCATTGTCGCAGCACTAGGCTATCGTACTGTATTATGGAGTAGAGACTCGGGTGATACTGGGATATCCAGTTCTGCATTAACGAATATTTTGTCGTGGAATCAACCAGATCAACCAGGATTTATATCTCTACAACATGATCTGACTGTTGCAACTTCACGAGTTGCTATCCAGGCCCTCAGCCAATTCCAAGCCATTCCACCAACAGCGTTAAAACCACAACCAGTAGGATCTTGTCTGGGAGACAGCAATTGGTATGGGGGTGATGGAAAGAATTTGGTTGTAACTAGTGCACCAACCACTACCGCTACTACCACCACAGTTGTTCCTACTGCTACATTCATTGTTAGTTTAATAGCTCAACCAACGCTCCTTCCTGCCGATACGACCAAGGCTTCGGCTGCAAACCAAAGTGGTTCAAGTTGTGTGTTAATACCTATTCTAATTGGTTTGGTCCAACACCTTCTTTTTCAGTAGATTGCACATATCTGTATATTTTAATTGACTAAAATCGTTGGACCAATAATTTTTATACATCTTTTTACCATTTGTAATTGATGAGTAGGAAAGCCTAAAAAAATTCAACCCATTGCATTTAAGGTATTCCTAATACAATCGAATCGCGTGGATTGATATTGTTACTGATATGCTACAGCATAACCTCTACCCAACCCAAAGAAGAATTTACTTTCATGTGATAGTAAGAAGTGAGTGTAGAGGTGATCTAAATCGAGAATGTCTTCCAAATTGTTGCTTGTTAAGTATCAGATTTTTTTGGAATCCACTCTACATCTTTCTGATACTGCCCACCATTTCTTTTTTGCTGATTAAGAAAACTCGATTACTTTAAACATATGGGTAATTGAGTTTTTCTTAACCAGCAAAAAAAAAGTTAAGATTTGGAATCCTTTTGGACGTTTTTTTATTCGAACCACCTGGCCTTACTTTTTCAAATAGATCACGAGCTAGTCAAGCTAAGCTACATGTGTTCAGATTCAAATTGAGAGTTTTGATAGCTACACAGCTCCTTCTTGTTGCTCCTTTCGTTCTAGAACTAACCGTCAATAAATTAATATGCAATTTGCATCATGATGATTACCGAACGAATAGAATAGATCATAAATAATTGGTTAAGATAAGAAGAGATGGTGGAAAATCTTATTTGACCAAGTACCGACTGAAGAAGGTGAAAGCATTTACTGATTTTTTGGAATGTCCATGTTTATTTTCACCAGCCAATTACAAACTCTTTCCAATATTGTAAATGAAAGTTTAAACTTTTATTAGTAGTACAGTTTAACAATTTCACGACGAACACCACTTGAAAAACAAAATACAGTATCACATTGGAAAGAACATTCAATAGCGTGTTGCTTAAACAACTGTAATGAGCCAGTGCAACCAAAATAATTATGTTTAGCAGCAATCAAGCTATAATGTCAGTTTAAGAAAAGCATACGCGAATCCCGATCTCTTCAACACCTTTTGAGTTAATTTCAATAATTTAGGGATATTTTCGGCTTCATAAATAGTTTCTGAACTTAGAATGACATCGTATTTGCTTTCATCCATTATATTCTAATTGATTAATTTAATTGCTGTACTGTCAAGTCTAACCAATCACCACTGTAAAATTCTGATGGGATATCCAAAGAATACTTGATTTCCATTTCAAAATTACCCATTCCATCTAACTCTATTTCATTAGGGCGTTGAATAGTGTTGATAAGGACATTTGGTAATGTAACCAGTTTAATGACCTCTTCATTATAATCTTGAAAATCAACTTTGACTGCGTTTAATCCTATTCCTGCCAATCCAGGCAATCCAGAACCTATCGTATTATAGTTTTGTTGGACTCATTACCACAACCTAATTCTAAAATTGTTGTGCCATTGATTTCGTTAGGAATAGTCATTAAATAATTCATCAAATCTATCGAGCATTCCCAAGTTTTGCAACCTTTTCGTTAATACCATTAATGTACCTCCTTCATAAACATTTGAAATCAAGTCTGTTGAATTCATCAGTGCAGCAGATAAATTTGCGTGCTGCTCATCACTCTGATATATTTCAAAGTTTATGTCATGAACAGTTCGTTGAAAAAGGTTGAATTGAGATGTTTTGACTAACAAATTGAATTATTAGAAACCAAAAATACCAACCTAGTTGAGCTATAATAGGGACAGAATCAGTATGATTGATATCTAAAGTCGATAGTTTTTTTCCAGTTATTGGAACAGTAATTTTCTGTTCATACTGTTGTTGAACGGACTCTGAATTAATGTCATCACCAAAATCGAATTTAAACATGAATTAAAAAAAAAAAATATTCGGAAAGTAAAAGAATAGTTTTTAGCCAGATTGAAGATTAAATCAACAATGGATTTATTGAACCTCATATTTTTCCCATACTCTTCATCTCACGATCCAAAAGTCACGATTAGATACCGTTGAAAAAAAGATTTTAGAAAGAAAATTTTGTATTTTGAGGAATGAATTCAAATTGCGACCACCCCACAAAACCAATCTGTAATATGACAAAAATCAATTCAAATCCACAAAAAAGATTGTCTCTGGACTTGGTCCCTTCCCATTTGGGTGATATTATGTCATCTACAGAAACGGCAAATACTATCACTGGAAATTTCACTCCATTACAAAGAATTGTCTTAACAGCTAATGGTAATTTACAGCGGATTTTGAGGTAATAGTGGATTCACTCATATCAGTGCATTCTTCAATTCCAAGGTGTCAGTCATCATCATCAAGAATGATTTAATCGTAGAACAAAATGATTTTATTCAATATGATAGACAAGTTCATTTAGTTTGTCTAGATAAGATAAAATGTGTAGCGGATTCAATAGTTACTGTCACCGATTGTCAATTAATTCAACTTATCAAGGAAAACAACATTGGAATTGGTCAACTGTTCAGGTACAAATAAATACTTTAACAATCAACAGATACTTGAATCTCTTACCTGAATTCAAATTATTGGAAGTCAGTAAATCAGAAACAGGATTCTCTCGAAAGTATACATTACAATCACCAGGAATCCTCTGTGAACTTGTTGAAACATTTCAAAATGATTTATTCAATATAGAATTAGATGGAGAACTTAAAATTGATAAGGTGAACGAAACACCCAAATATCAGGCACCACTATAACTTCTAGAGTAGATTATTTATCTTGGAGACTATTTATACATAAATTGAATTAAGATATTTTCCTGTTATGTTAATATGTGGGTGATGAGATATCTATATTGAAAGTTTCTATAAAATTGAGTTCAAGAAGGTGTCAAAAGATTATATTTCAT